AGTCTAGTCCATGTGTCTCTGGATATATTTTGTTCATTAGATTCCACATACAAGTGAGATAATGTGATGCTTGTCTTTCTCTACCTGGCTTATTTTGCTAAGCATAATACTCTCCATGCTGTCTCAAAGGGTAAGAGACCCTAGCAGGCATGGCTCAGTGGTTGAGGGTCGACCTATGAACCAGGAGGTCATAATTCAATTCCTGGTCAGGGCACATGCCTGGGGCTGTGGGCCTGATCCCTGGTGTGAAGCGGGCGGGAGGCAGCCAATCGATGATTCTCTCATTAATGTTTCTCTCTCTCCCTCTCCTATCCTCTCTGAAGTCATTAAACGTATATAAAAAAATAAAAAGGGGATATTTTCTTTATCTCACAGTTACATAGCATTCCCTTGTGTAAACACACCATGTCTTTTTTTTTATCCACTCATCTACTGATGGGCACTTGGGCTGTTTCTAGACCTTAACTATTGTAAATAGCACTGCTGTGAATATAGGAATGCATACATTCTTTCTGATTAGTGTTTCGGGATTCTTAGGATATATTCCTAGAAGTGGTATCATTGGGTCCAATGGCAGTTCTATTTTGAGAAAACTCCATAGTTTTCCATAAAGGCTGCACCAGTGTGGGCTTCCCGTGAATGACAATGGGGAATTTAAACTGAGGGATTTTAAACAGGGAAGTGAAAGGATCAGGATTATTTTAGACCATCACTCTGGATGTAGGGTGGAGACATCAACTCAGAAAGCAGGGAAAATGGGTTGTTGCATTGTCTCAGACAATAATCTATTTTGCCTAGATTAGGGGTAATAGAGCTAGGAGGAAGTTGACATATTTACAAAATATCAAGTATTAAGAGAGGCAAAAAAGGCAAGATTTGGTGACTGTAGATTTTGAGGAAGAGAAAAGAATAGCGACGGGGAGAAAGGTGGGGTCATTCATTGAGAACGAGGGTTGAGGCAAGTGGAGAAAGTCACCCTGTTATTGGGACTTGAGTTTCAGGTGCCTCAGAAGGACAGGCAAGTGAGTGTCAGCAGGAAGTTAAAATATAGCTCAGGGGCAGACCTATGCTTGAGAGATACAGGTTTGGGAGTTGAAATAGTATTTGAAACCAAGAGAAAACAGGCAGATCACCTTTGTCAGGGGAAAACAGAAAAGAGTCAATTACAGAACCAGCTAGGAAAACCAGCACGTACAGCATTGGCAGCAAAAGAACAGAGAGAGAAGGGAGGACACGGAATGAGTGGTCAGAACCACAGAGAACAGAGAGATGAGGGAAACGGTGATTTCATAATTCAATCTGGTCAAGTGGCTTGTCCTGTGGAAGCCAGTCACTTGCCCAGCTGTGACCTGCTGACTAAGTGTTCACTCATTCAGCACTGGACCAGACACTCATCTAGGTGCTAAAGCTAGGGACACATCAGAGAACAAAAAAGACAAAAAGCCCTGACTTTAGAGAGCGTAAATTGTAGTGTGGAGAACAGACAGTAAATAAACGTTAAAAACAGGTAAACAAAAATAGGTAAAAATATTAGGTGGTAATGCTATGGCAAAAACAGTAGATGAAGAGGCAGCAGGGGTAGAAGGGAGGGTGTGTGAGCATTTTCCAGTGGGGCAGCCAGGGGAGGCCTCATTGAGTAGGCGACATCTGAGTAAAAACTTGAAATTTTCCAAGCAGGTGCCTAGGGGTAGAGCATTCTAGGCAGAAGTTATGGCCAGTGCAAAGGTTTTGAGGAAGAAGCAAGCTTAGGAAGTTCAGTGAAAAGTGTCAGGGTACTGGGAGATGAAATCAAAGAAGACATGTGGGAAGGGGTGTATCGGGTGGTATTTTGACTTCAGCTGAGAAAATGAGGCGCTATCAGGAGGTTTTGAGCTTAAGCGTGACATCTAAGGTTTTCGAATAGGATCACTGTGACTGAAGAATAGATGTTGCCCTCGCAAATGTGGTCCCATGCACCAAGAGGTCTCCGGCTCGATTCCTGCTCAGGGCCCATGCCCAGGTTTCATGCGGGAGGCAGCTGATGAATATTTCTCTGTCATCTGATGTTTCTCCCTCTCCCTTCCCCGCTCTGTAAAAAAAATAAAAATAAAAATAAAAAATAAAAATAAAAATCAACAAAAACATATTTAAAAACCAAACAAAAAAACCCCCACACAGAACAGATTGAGGCCAGTGCAGAAATGCAGGCAAAAGCTAGTGCCCTGGATAGCAGAGTGGGTTTTGGATGGTTTGGAAGTGGGATCTACCGTGTTTCCCTGAAAATAAGACATCCCCCGAAAATAAGACCTAGCGCATGGAAAGATAAGACATCCCCTGAAGCCGAGACCGGTTTGGCTCAGTGGATAGAGCGTCGGCTTGGGGACTGAAGGGTCCCGGGTTCTATTCCGGTCAAGGGCATGTACCTTGGTTGCGGGCATATCCCCAGTACGGGGTGTGCAAGAGGCAGCTGACCGATGACTCTCTCTCATCGATGTTTCTAACGTGCTATCTCTCTCCCTTTCTCTCTGTACAAAATCAATAAAATATATTTTTTTTAAAAACTACTCATATTTTTTTTTCCAAGAAAAACTACTCATATTAAAAAAAAAAAAATCCCCTGAAAATAAGACCTAGCGCTGCAACTTTGGGAGAAAAAAATTAATATAAGACACTGTCTTATTTTCGGGGAAACAGGGTAGGAGAAAGAGGAGGCAGGAATACTAGCAACACCGAGGCAGTGTCCTGAAGAAAAGGAAAGAGACTGCCATCCTCTGAGGCAGGAAAGACTTTGGGAGGATGGGATGGGGGTTGGAAGGGGAGGGTGGAGGGGGGAATTAGGGGTTCAGTTTCTGGTCAGGTTGTTGGTGATCTTTCCAAGTTGCCTATAGGAATTTGAAATTCGGGAGAGCAGTCAGAGCTGGCGATTAATGGAAGTCGTCAGCATGTGGTTGGTCTTTAGAGCCACGAGTGTGAACAAACCCAGTTCCAGGTGTGTGAAGTGCGGTGAGAAAAAGGCAGGAAAGGGAGTCGAGTGTTTGTGTGGGAGGGTGAGGGGTGTGATCCGTAAAAAAAAAAAAAAAAAAAAAAAAAAAAAAGATGGCCAGAGAAGGGACATGTGCTTTCCCCCAGAAAAAAGAGAAACCAACGCTTCAGGCCCTCACAGCCTGGGACACTGGGGAGGCCGAACCCGGCCCAACTCGCAGCCTGAAGGCCAAGGCTTCCAGCAACTTCCGGCCCGTTAGCCTGGTTCCCTGGCAATCAAAACCGAAACTCATCGAAAGGGCATTTCCAGCTTCTTCTTCCAAAACACCATAGATGTGTGGACAGAGGGGAAAGCCCATGAACCTGGGTCGGAACGCTGGTTTCATTGTACTACAGAGCTCGACTACTTTATAAGAGCCGATCTTAAAGACGGGTTAACTCGTTAAAAGCAGCACAATGACAACTATCACGACAGAGGCCTCAGGCTCCCCTCCTGCGCACGCGCCGCCTCCTCCTCCTCGCGTCACTCTGAGGTAACAGCCTTTCTCTTCAATGACTCCCTGGAACCCCCGGGCAGGAGGCCTCCCACCCTACGGGTCGAAGGAGGAGTCAAGTCGCGCTGCGCGAACAAGGCTTGATCACGCGCTACAAAAGCGTTTGTAGGGCGGGGCGACCCGACGACCCTCTCTTGTTCCCATTGGTTGCGGTCGCGAGGCTCTCATCCTCGATTGGACGCTGGGGAGCCGCGGAGCCCAGGCAGCAGTCCGCCCTCCTCCCCCGCTCCCCTTGTGCGCGTGCGCACGTTAGGCAGGAGCTCCCCGCACTGAGCAAGCGCGGCCTCGTGTCGGCTGGAGCGGCGCGCTCTGCGTCCCGTCGCTCCGCTCTCCCCGGTCCCGCCCTCCGTCGCGGCGGCGCGGTGCATCTTGGGGTAGGGAGCGATCTCCGAGCGAGGCGGCAAGATGGACGCGGGATTCTTCCGCGTAAGTAGAAGCGCGGGGGTCTGTGTGTGAGCTGAGGGCCTTATCGCGAAGGCCTGGCAAGAGGCCTACATTCGGGGCGGGGTGGCCGCCGAGGGGGAGACATCGAAAATGCTGGAAATCCTCGGCGCTAGCGGAGGGTACCCCCTTCCTTGCGACGGAGACCGGTAGCCCCTGCGCAGTCTCCTCCTTCGGGATCGTCCCCCCTACGCGGCGGCGACGGTCGCCGGAAAATGGCGGCGGTAATTGGCCCGACCGGTACCTCGCCGGCCGCCCGCCCGCCTACCTGGCGGGGCCTGCAGGCTAATCTTTGCGCGCCGCCGGGTGCCGGGGCCTAGCGGAGCCGCGAGGAGGAAGTTCCTGGGGGGAGGCCGGAGGGAAGCCCCGAGGGGGCTGGCGGCCGAGGACCCTGGAGAGGAGCGCGTTGGGGTATCGCCCCCAGAGAGCGTGTTAGAGAGGACAGGAAACCTCGTTGAGCGTCTTCAATGGAGCAAGCGACACCCCCACTCTCCCCCAGTTCCTAACCCTTCTCGAAAGCGCGGGGGCAGAGTTCGCGGGAGTCCCCGCCCAAGGTGATAGCCCTCCGGGGAGGGGAGCAAAAGATAATGTGCCGTTAGAATGTGTGCATCCGAGGCTCTCGAGGCCGGAGGGGACAACAAAAAAAGTGCGCGCGCTGGTGGAGGGAAGCCTGGGCGTGGGGTGGGTCTTCTTCCCGCCCGCTGCCTTCCCGGGTTTGCTTTCCTCTGCAAGCCCGCTGGAAAGGGGTCCCCTGAGCGGGGTTCTCCCGGGCCCGCGCCCGGCCCCTGCGGGTGGGTAAGATTATCTCTCTCTGTGGTGGGTCCTCAGGACCCCGACTCTACAGGCTCCTGCTCCCCATAATCCAGTCCTGTAGGAAATGAGCGCCCAGTAAAGAGCTAGCTGGGTGGGAAGTGACTCTGCTGGGGTTAGAGCTTGCAGATTTTTTTTTTTTCCCCCCCCCGTGCAGAACAGACTGGGTAGAGATAGGTTGTGTTTTAAAGAAAAAGTTGGAAGAGGGGCAAGACTGGAACTTGATTAAGAAAGGTATCTTTTTTTAAGGTTGACCGAGTGCCTTAGGAGGCTAACACAAAAGGGTAAACTGAGTCTCCATAAAACCCAGAGAAGAGATGGCAAAACTCCTCTTTGGATTCTGTCTGGAGTCACAGAT